TCACAGCCAGGGAGGGCGGGAAGGGGGTGCGCTGGGGAGGGGGATTAGCCAAAGCCCTTTCCTGGGAAACAGGAACCAGGCGACACCTCATTAGAGATGCCTAAAATCGTCTTTGCTCACCCTGCCTGTACCCATCCTGGGGGCTCAGCACCCACCTCCTCCCAGGCACCCTGGGAGCCCCATCCCTTGTACCTTCTTTGCAAGTGTGGCATCCTGGGGTTTAGAAGAGGCAGAAGCTGTGCTGGGGTGAGGGGGCGGCCAGTTCCTGCCCTGCTGCAAGGGCAAAAGAGGGGTCTCAGAGCAGCACGTGGCCTCAGGGGATGCCGGGCTGGAGTTAGCCCCTGGCTTGGTGTCTGCAAGTGACTGGGAGGATGGAGGGCAGGATCAGGGGCACAAAGAGGAGCCTGTGTGGGACAGCTCTGTCCCCTCCATCCAGGGCAGGAAGGACTGCCCAGCCCGGGGCTGACTCGCAGTGGGCAGCACGGTCCAGCCCCTCGTGTTTCTCCCCTTGCACCAGGATGAGGGAGAAGCGGGAGCCTTCAGCATTCAGAAATGTCACCCCCAGCTGCTCTGGACAAGCTCCTTATTGTGGTCCTTCACCTCCTGTCCCTTTGCATCCACCACAGCTGCACCCGGGGGGGAGATGACCCCCATCCATCCTTGGCCCACTTGGCTGCAGCTGGCCACAGGAGGGCCCTCTGCCCCCTCCAAAGCTCCTGGGCAGGGATTTGTGGGGTAGGAGGGGACAGACAGAAATCAGGCCCCTTCCCTCACAAAGCAGGGGACTAGCAGGACATCTCCCCCAGCAGCCTCCACACGACATGTATGCACTAGGGCCACCCTCACTGCCATTTCCCAAGGGGTTGGGCGAACAGTCCCGCCCCTGAGCAGCCCTGGCCCCACACGTCCCCATGTCCAGCCTCCCCCCAAGTAAAAGCAGCACAAACAGCAGGGCCAGGGCTTTGATGCGCTGCTGCTGCACCCGTTTGGCACCAGGGTGTGAACTGTGTCCCTGGAGAGGGGGGTGACAAAGGGGAAGGAGCTGGGGGCCAGCAGTGCCACACCTCCCCCACCTCCAGTGATGTCCCCAGTACGTGGCTCTGGTGAGAGGGGCAGCCCCAGCCCTCCAGGAACAGCTCACCCCCGCACCCAGTGCTGGAGGCAAACCTGTGTTCATCAATGGGCCAAGGTGACCATCCCCATACTCAGCTCCCTGCCCCAGCCCAGGCAGAAATAAGCCCATGTCCAGGGCTGCCAACCAAAAGGCTCTAGGACAAATCCTCCAGGATCATCCCAGCAGCACTGGAGGAATGGGGAGCGCCCATCCAACCTCCCTGTGGGGCAGGACTATCCCCAGCCCTGGACAAGGCCAGCTGTGGCCCTGCCCAGCCAAGCCTGGCTGACCCTAAGGGTGGGGACCCCCTCCTCTCTGGGGCTGGTCCCTGGGGAGAGAGTGCTTCCCCCAGACCTCCCAGGCCTTGGTCTGGGGCTGACCCCCCTTTGCCCCCAGAGAACCCAGCCCAGCCCTCACTGCCTCTGCCCACCCACCCCAGCAGCCCCTGTCCCTCTCCAGCTTTTCCATCTCCCTTTTGAGGCAATCCTTCTCGCTGCTCATCGCTGTGTGCTCCCTTGGCTTCCAGGCTGTTCAGATTCCCCTTGGACAACCAAGGCATTTCCACGCTCAGGACACTGAGCCGTGTTCCAGGCACAGGAGACAGAGCAGCAGCCAACTCCCATATACCCTACTCTTCGATGAAATATGGAAAAGCTGACAGCAATCCCTTCCTGACTCCACACCTGAAGTAAGAGCTCAGCCCAAGGCTCAGAGCTCAGGAATTGCTCTTTTTCGCCGGCCCCAGCTCAGCCACGTGGCCAGCTGGATGCTGGGACAGCATCCCACTCTGCCATGGGAGGATGGTGGCCAACAACTCCCCTCCCTGAGCTAGAAGTGGTGATCCAACAGCGTGAAGGTCTCCACTGCCTTCTCCCTGCCTGTACTGAAAATGGAGATAGGCCAGCACAGGAGGGGCTCCTGGGCAGCCGGGGGGAAGAGTCCCAACAGCTGCAGGGCAGACAGCAAAAAGACAGAGATGTCAAGGAAAAAGATATAAGGGCTTTATTATACTTCGAATTTCAAAGCACCAAGACATGCCAGAAGACATTCATTTCCATCAGGTGTTCAGTAGAAAGGCTGGGCCAACAAATGACACTGCTGGGGTCAAGGTTCCCCCAGCGAACACCCCAGCCCCACTGCTGGAGCCCAGCAGCCACGGCTGACGGTGCGGCAAGAAACTGTGCAAAACCACCAGGTTTAATGCCCTTGTACCTGCCCTGGCAGCAAACACGCAGCTTGTCACTGCACGTGACAAAGACACGGCAGAGTGTGGAGTGGGGGTGGCCGGGTCCCCTACAAGACAAGGGAGTGGGAGGCCAGGCCAGGCCAGAGACCAGCCAGAGGGAGCCCTGGGGGCCTGGCACAGAAACGCCCACCATGGCACGCCTGGCAGCCAATGCCACAGAGCAGCACCTCTGCCAGGAGGAACTACTGCAATACCCGTACCAGAGACAGAGCACTGAAAGTCTCTGGGAAATTCATCTCCAGAATATAAAAACAGCTGAGGTTTCCCGAGAAATAAAATTCACTCCCATGGAACTGACAGGGCCAGCACACATGTACATGTATACTTAAATACACACACACACACACACACGCTTTCTCTGATCAAAGCCCAGATGACTCCATGGCTTCCACACGCACAAAGGGAAAGCTTTGCTTCACCCAAATTAGCACTAAACTATCTCCTTGTGTTTCTCTCTGCCTCCGTGCCTCCTATGCACCACACAGCCCTGCTGGGTTACATTCAGCGCCATTACATTCAAACCCTTCCTGAGCACAGTTCCCCTGAGCCGCGAGGTCCGCTCCACTCCTGCACTGAGAGGAAAGGAGCCCTTGGGGCCAGACCAGGGGGATCACAGCTCTCTGCACTGGGGGATCCTCAGCACGCGACGGGCTGACAGCAAGCAGGCACAGCGCGCTGGGTCCCTACACCTCCCTCAAGCCTTACCTGGCACCAGGGGAAGCTGGTGGCAGTTGCAGCAGCCCGGCCCTGTGCAGCAAGACCCACCAGAGGACACAAGTCAGCTGAGATGGAGGAAGGACACAGCAGCAGCACAGGGGGACCCTTCATGATTCCCACAGTAGCAACTGCCAGCAGTAGTGAGAAGGGGGAAGGCCTGTTCCAGGGCCAGGCCAGACCCTGGCTGCCTTCACACACAGCTCAGGCCAGAGATTTTGGGGTGTCTGTGCTCAGACTCAGAGGAAGACGCACCCCACTTTCCCTGATCCCAAGCACTGGGAGGGGCTGGATCACAAGGCTCTGCAGCCCAGCCTTCTGAAGCTTCCCCGGGGAGAGCAGGGCTGGGGTAGCTGATGGGCAGCGAGCCCTTTTGGTAGCCAGGGGCTGCCTGCAGCATCAGGCAGCGCTTCCATCATGGTTCCAGCCCACGGCCTCTGCCAGGTGAAGCCACACAGCTCTGCCAGGAGCAGAGCCTTGTGCTTGCGAGGAGCCCCAGTTTGCTGGGTTACGTTTCCCAGTCTGCAGTCACCACAGAGCAGCACTGGGGAAACCAGCATTCTTCAAAACAGCAGCATGGCAGTGGGCTCGGGGTGCTGGGTGACAACCAGGTGTCACCAGTCCCGTTCTGAGGGCTCCCGGTAAGGCAGCCCCAGCTGAATGAAGACATCTCTCTCAGTGGGAGTGGGCAGAGTATGGCCAGGTGCCACCTTGACGCCTCCAGGGCCTCGCACCACGGCCGAGCTGAGGGCATGCTCCGAGAGGCTCATGCCCTTGGTCTTGGCCAGGGCCCGCATGGAACGGTTGAAGTGAGCTGAGCCGGTGAAGTAGAGCAGGGCACAGGCGAACTCACTGTAAGGCACCACGATGATGTCAAGCCGGCGGTGACACCGGGCTGGCCCGGGGAGGCGGCACACCCCCAGGTACTTCTTCTGATCACCGTTGTCCTCCTGACTCACCAGGTCATCCGTAAGGAAGCCTGGGGAGAGGGAACAGCCAGAGAGGAGCTGAATGGCAGAGACTGACACCCCCACTCCGAACTCCCCGCTGTCCAGACAGCAGCTGAGGTGTCTCATAACGTGCTGTGGGACCCCAAGGGCAACCCAGCCTCAGCCCTGACAGCCTCACGCAGACAGGAGAAGCCACGCTGAGCTTCAGCAATACTCCCTCCTTAACACTGGCTGCAAACCTGCCACCGGAGCAGGACCAGGACCAGGGGCAGTAGTCTAAGGACTTAGAAGATGACCCGTCCTTGGGAAAAGCGATCACCTGCCCTTCAGTGAATGCCATTCACCTCATTATTGCCTCCTCAGTTTGGCCATGCTAACAACAGCTTCGAGCACCATGTGCCAGTCCCCAGCCCTCTTACCGCTCCTGTGGAGGCTGTCAAGCAGCTTGCTGAACACCCCACGGTGAGACTGCCCATCTGGGTGAGTGACCAGCACATCCACATCTCCACAGGTGGGCTTCCCGCGACGGTAGGAGCCACACGCCACACACACGAGCCCAGGCTTCAGGGCCAGGGCAGCTTGTCTGACCTCCAAGAAGAGAAAGAGGGATGAGAAGTCAGAGACCAGTCTCTTCATGCCCTTTCCATCAAGGCAGCAAAGGATCTTGTGCCTGCCTTGCGGCCTGTCCTGCATCTCCAGGGTCTCCATACAGAGCAGACACTTGGCAGGCATGGCAAACTGCCCCACCAAGGAGGCTGGCCTGCTGCCAGGAGCCACATGAGCTGGGGTGGCCTCCACCCAATCCTGCAAATGCCCAGCACACTGCCACACAATACAATGATCTACCACGGTGCTACCATCAGTCATCAGCTCTTGCGGGCACTGGGCTGGAGCTGGGTTGGGACAAGCAGGAAGGTGCAGCAGTGCTGAGGAGGCAAAGTACAGCACAACCTTTCAG